TGTGCCACAGTACGCTAAGATAGCAGCGCCACTGACCGACCTACTGAAAAAGGATACGCCCTACAAATGGGATACCCCTCATCAGCAAGCCATGGAGCAGCTACAAACAGCACTGACTACAGCACCAGTACTCATCCTACCAGATCCAGACAAGGACTACGTGGTGGAAGCAGACGCTAGTGACCAAGCAGTCGGAGCAGTACTGATGCAAGATCACGCACGCGGTTTACAGCCCATCGCCTACCTCACTAAGAAGCTACATGGAGCAGAACTAAACTACCCCATTCACGACAAGGAAGCCTTAGCGATAGTCATAGCCTTCAAAGCGTAGAGGTGTTACTTAGAGGGAGCCAAGACTACTGTCTATACTGACCACTGCAGTCTCAAATACCTGAAGTCGCAGCCGACGCTCTCACGACGACAGGTGCGGTGGGTGGACTTCCTGGAAACTCACTTCCACTACGACATCATCTACAAACCCAGGCTACACAACAAAGCGGACGCGTTGAGCCGCCCAGGACATGTAGCAGGCATCCAACTCGACGGGATGAACCCTCTGCTCAAGGGTCTATTCCAACATGGGTACTCCGTGAACGGCGAGATAGCAACGGCAGAGAAACAGAAGCTGTTACAGTGGGAGAAAGACTTAGCGGTAAGGAAGGGTTCAGGAAAGATTTGGGTACCGAATTACGCCCCGCTACGACAGATCCTATTGGAGGAGTTTCACGACGTACCTTACGCGGGACATTTCGGGAGCAACAAGACGTTAGCAGGGATAGCGAAGTATTACTACTGGCCCGGGATGGCAGCAGACGTGCAGTAGTTCGTCACCTCTTGCGACACGTGCCAGCGGATGAAGAGTAGCAAGCAGAAAAAAGCAGGGTTACTTCAGCCTCTACCCGTACCGGAGCAGCCATGGCAGGTCGTTAGCCTTGACTTTATCACAGGACTTACTTCGACCTCACGGGGGCACGATTCCATCCTCGTAGTCATCGATAAGTTCTCCAAAATGGGTCACTTCATACCGACCAACGCCACAGCTACAGCTGAAGCAACTGCTCGCCTCTTCTTCGACCGCATCATCACCATCCACGGCATCCCCGCTACACTCATCTCAGACAGAGACCCAAAATTTATGAGTAAGTTCTGGAAGGAGCTCATGGGACTGTTGGGGACTAGACTGGCGATGTCCTCAGCATACCACCCACAGATTGACGGACAGACAGAGCGACTCAATCAAGTGGTTGAACAGTTACTGCGCACAGCTTGCAAAGACGACGTCAGCCACTGGGACACACAGTTACCGACCCTAGAGTTCGCTTACAACAACGCATCACATGCGGCCACAGGAAAAACTCCTTTCTTCCTGTGTTACGGACGGGAACCACTCACACCACAGCAGCCAACCACACCGGCACACGTCCAAGCCGCACATGACTTCGTCACCACCATGCAGCAGCTATGGGAGAAGACTCAGCGACGACTCACCACGATGCAGACCTCCCAGAAGCAGTATGCCGATCGTCAGCGACGTGATCACTCAGTAGCAGTCGGAGATCAGGTGCTTCTTGACACGCGCAACTTGAACCTGTCTCACCTCCCATCCAAACTCCGGCCTCGCTTCTGTGGTCCTTTTCTCGTTGAGGCACAGGTGACACCCGTTACATTCCGCTTGTGCTTACCAGATACATGGAAGCTTCACAACGCTTTCCATGTTCAGCTACTGAAGCCCTACAAGGACCCCAACCAACAGTTCTAGGGACGGCAGCTACCGCCACCACCACCTGTTCTCATACAGGATGAACCCGAGTACGAAGTGGAGCGCGTTCTCTCTCATCGGCGTCGCGGCGGCAAGACTCTCGAGTTCCTGATACGCTGGAAGAGATACGACCCCACTGAGGACAGTTGGGTTGCAGAAGCTGATATGGGCAACGCACGCCGTGCTCTCAAGGACTATCTTGTCAAGCAGGGTGTATCTCACGCCACCCAGCTTTGAGGGGGGGACGTGTGAGAGTACGACGGCTTATGCCAGCTATGCTTGCTTGCCTCTACTTTATTATGCTATTTCTAGCATAGGATAATCATATGCATGCATGAATTGCTTGATTTCCTAGGCTAGGTGCTTTCCTATATTTTATTATAGTTATAGCACCGAGCTAGGTTGCGTGCACTGAATTCTGGCCTTTTCGGTTGCCACCGAATTGCCTTCTACCGAATTCGGTAAGGGTCTGTTCGCGACGCTACGCGACCCGCGGAACCTTCGCGTAACACCTGGTTACGGGGCTTTGTGTCGAGCCTATATATAGCCTCGTGTTGTACCCAGGTGATCATTCGGTCCAATTCGATTCAATTCCATTCAATTACATTCTCTTTTCTGATCTCGATCCTAGATCCTCACAACAGCTCTTGGGTTTGCTCCTTCGACTGCTGACCCGTTGCTTTTTCTGCGCACCGACACTTCGCTGCCGCCGTTCTACATCCTCGTGTACGTCGACGACTTGGTCTTTGCCACTGCTGACACTGAGGCTCTAGCCCTGGTGAAGTTGGAGCTGCAGAAGAGACACACTTGCACAGACCTGGGTGAGCTGCGCAGCTACCTTGGCTTGGAGATCACCCGGGACAGAGCACGCCGCACCATCACACTGACTCAGTCACACATGGTGCAGCAGGTCCTTCAGCGCTTTGGCTTCACCTGGTCCTCAGCACAGCACACTCCTCTGGCTACAGGTCACTTGCTCTCAGCTCCACCTTCGGAGGAGTCCGTAGAGCCGAGTGGTCCTTACCCAGAGCTAGTGGGCTGCCTCATGTACCTGATGACCTGCACTCGACCTGACCTTGCGTACTTTTTTGGCCTTCTGACTCGCTACGTGGCTCCTGGTCGGCACCGAAAGGTGCACATGGATGCTGCTAAGAGGGTACTGCGCTACTTGTGCAGTACATCGGGCATGGGGCTCGTGCTTGGAGGGCGTAGTCCAGTTGTCCTCACTGGGCACTCAGACGCTTCTTGGGTTGACGACCAGGCTACACAGCAGTCGTCACAGGGTTACACGTTCAGCCTTGGCTCCGGCTCTGTTTCTTGGCGGTCTACACGCTCGTCTTCTGTTCTCTGCTCCAATTGCGAGGCTGAGATCTATGCCACAGCCATGGCTGCACAGGAGTTACGCTGGCTCACCTACCTGCTGACCGACCTGGGATAGGGGCCTCGTTCTCCTCCAGTTCTGTACGTAGACAACAAGGCCGCCATTGCCTTGTGTCAGGAGCAGAGACTGGAGCACAGAATGAAGCACATCGCTCTGCGTTACTTCCTGGCTCGAGAGTTGCAGTAGCGGGGTCAGCTTCGCCTTGCTCACGTGGCCACTCGGGCCAACACTGCTGATATATTCACCAAGGCACTTCCGTCTGGTGACCATCAGCGCTTTTGTACTTTGTTGGGCCTTGTGCATACGTTTCCACACTTGCCATAGTCTCTGCTTGTACTATGATCTATATATTGTCAAACATTATATATGTTGTGTTAGTTTAGGCTATAGTGGGTTAGCCTATAGGGGGTACACAATTCTAGGGCTAGGTACTTGTACTCATTTCACTGTTAGTTCATTCATTTTCCTGTTCATTTATTCCAACATGGTATAGAGCAGGTCCTTCCTAGGACTGAAATTTTCTAAGGGCCCACCACTACCTAACTACCTACCTACTTGCGCCCTAGGGCGCCTCGACTGTGCCACGCCCCTACAGGCCCCTCTTGACGGCCCCGCGCTAGCCCCGTTCAGGCCCCGTCGGCCCCACGCCCGCTCTCCCTAGCGGCCCCGTTCAGGCCCCGTCGGCCCCTTTAAGGCCCCGATCGGCCCCGCGCTAGCCCCGTTCAGGCCCCGTCGGCCCCGTTTCAGGCCCCGTCGGCCCCGCGCTAGCCCCATTCAGGCCCCGATCGGCCCCGCGCTAGCCCCGTTCAGGCCCTGTCGGCCCCGTTTTAGGCCCCGTCGGCCCCGCGCTAGCCCCTTTCAGGCCCCGTCGGCCCCGTGCTAGCCCCGTTCAGGCCCCGTCGGCCCCGTGCTAGCCCCGTTAAGGCCCCGATTGGCCCCGCGCTAGCCCCGTTCAGGCCCCGTCGGCCCCGTTTCAGGCCCCGTCGCCCCCGTTTCAGGCCCCGTCGGCCTCGCGCTAGCCCCTTTCAGGCCCCGTCAGCCCCGTGCTAGCCCCGTTCAGGCCCCGTCGGCCCCGCGCCAGCCCCGCTCAGGCCCCGATCGGCCCCGCGCTCGCCTCTCTAGGGCCCCAAGCCGCCTCGCTGACCTGTGCCCGCCGTCTCTAGAGGCCCCAACTGGCCCTGTGCCCACCGCTCCTAGAGGCCCCGGGCGGCCCGTTCCCGCCGCAGCCCGCGACCGAACCGAGCCGCGTGACCCGAGCCGCGCGACCCGAACCGCGCGCCCTGAGTCGAGCCGTGCGCCCCGAGCCGAGCCGCGCGACCCAGCCGAACCGCGTGACCCGACCTGAACTGAGCCGCGCCGCCCTGCCCTAACTGGTTCGTCCTACCTGCTTCTCCTACTGCTACTGCTGCTATTTCTACTGTTCCTATGGCTAGCCCACAGGTTCTCGTGTTTGATGCTGAGGGCCGCCCTGTGAAATTTGACACCTGGCTCGATGACCTGCACCTCTACCTACAGCTCACAGCCTAGGATGACATCTCACTGTACGATCACGCCCTAGGCCATGTCACTGCCCTTGCTGCTACTGCTGACAGCACTGCTCGCTCACAGTGGCAGACTCGTGATGCCCATGCTCGCTTCGCTATTCGCAACTCCCTGCCGATAGACGAACGCGAGCACTTTGGTCAGCACAAGACTGCACAGGCACTGTACATAGCTGTAGTTGCTCGCTACTCCTCACCTGCCTCTGTCGCACTAGGCCGTCTCTCCCTCCCCTACCTGTTTCCCGACCTGGCCTCCTTTCACACAGTCGCTGACCTCATCACGCACCTCCGTAATAGTGAGGCCCGCTTCCGTGCCGCCATGCCTGCTGAGTTCCTTGCAACGCACCCCCCTCCTCTCTGGCTCACTCTCTACCACCTAGTCACCCGCCTCCCTGACACACTGCCTGCTGTCAGGGATCACTTCCTAGCTCGTTGCCCCACTGAGCTCACCAGTGCCCTCCTCGAGAAGGAGCTACTTGCAGCTGAGACTAGCATAGTCGCTGTAGGTGCCTCTCGTGGCGACCCCCGTACCCCGTTCGTTGAGGGGTGTTCTCCTTCCCCCCTTCTTCCCTCTGTCGCCTCTTCTGCTGCTGTCGACCTTCTCGGTGCTGAGAAGGTCGGCGCTGCTTCTGCCTCGAGCGGGCGCCGCAGCGGCAAGGGCAAAGGGGGCAAGGGTGGTGGCGGTGACGGCGGGGGAGGCGGCGGTGGGGGCGGTGGAGGCAATGGGGGTGGTGGCTCGGCTGGAGGGGCGAGTGGTAGCGGTGGGGGTGGTGGCGGCAGCGGCGGGGGAGGTGGCAGGAGTGGAGGCGGCGGTTGGGGTAGCGGTGGACGAGGCGGCGGCAGGAGTTGGGGTGGTCGAGGAGGTGGAAGCGTTGGTGGTGGCCGTGGAGGCGCTGGCGGTGGCCAGGGACAGGAGCACACTCCTTCGCCCCAGGAGGTCCGTGAGTGGTACTCTCAGCACGGGGGTGGGGGTGGTCTTAGCTGCACGTACGTCATTCGCACTGGTGACCGCACTGGTCAGCAGTGTGGACGACCACACCCCACACAGCGCTGCTTCTCTCGTCTCGACGACGCTTGGCGTGTTCAGTTCCCTTAGGCCACTGAGCTGCCCCGCTGGCTTGATCTCCTGAAGAAGGGGATTGATATCTATGCTCTAGACTTTGATGCTATTCTATCTGCCATGTATGTGATGTCTACTAGTGGAGAGGGTGCTAAGTACTTGTGTGTGCCGCCCGACCCGGGCATTAGGGCCAGTGCGTCTGCCGCTCCAGGTACTCGCGTGTCGGCTACCCCAGGTGCTGGTGAGGCTGCTGCTCTAGGTGCTCGTGTGTCTCCCCCCCTTGGTACTGCGTCGACTGCAGCACTGCACACCTTCACACTGGACTCAGGTGCTTCTCGCTGCTTCTTTCGTGACCGCACTGACCTTGAGCCTCTTGCTCGGCCAGTTGCTGTCTCCCTTGCTGACCCCTCTGGGGGTCCGGTCATTGCGACCTCTTCCACTGTCCTTCCCTGTCCTGCGGTCCCGTCGGGCACACTGTCAGGTCTCCACCTCCCCTCGTTCTCTACGAACTTGGTGGCAGGATGTGCGCTCCAGGACGGGGGTGTTCACCAGTTCACCCCTGCCTACGAGCGCGTGACACACTGCACGTGTGCTCGTACGGGCCGTCGCTTGGCTACCTTCACTCGGCACTCGCGGTCGGACCTGTACACACTGACTACTGAGTCCCCTCAGGTTGCTGCGTCTGCGTCCGCGTCCGCGTCAGGTCAGCTGTCCACCCCCTGCTCGTGTCACTCTCTGGCATACGAGACTGTCCTTTGGCACCACCGCCTTGGCCACCCGTCTGTGCAGCGGCTTCGTGCCATGCACTCCCGGTACCTTGTCTCTGGCCTGCCCAGAGTCCTTCCTGCCCTCCCACCCTCGCCTGCTCCTACCTGTCTCCCCTGTGTCGAGGGACGGCAGCGCGCCGCTCCTCACTCCTCCTCGTTCCCCCCGACGACTGCTCCCTTGCAGACGCTCCACATGGACGTGTGAGGCCCAGCCCGCGTCCGTGGTCAGGGTCACGAGAGGTACTTCCTGATAGTTGTTGACGACTACTCGCGCTACACCTCGGTCTTCCCCTTGCGCACCAAGGGTGAGGTCCCTGATGTCTTGATCCCTTGGATCCGCAGAGCCCGTCTCCAGCTCAGCGAGCGTTTTCACTCGGACTTTCCTGTCCTACGCTTGCACTCTGACAGAGGTGGTGAGTTCTCCTCCGACCTCTTGGCAGCCTACTGTGCTGAGCACGGCATTGAGCACTCGTTCACGCTTCCGGCCTCTCCACAGCAGAATGGGGTTGCGGAGCGCCGCATTGGCCTGGTCATGGAGGTCGCCCGTACCTCCTTGATCCATGCGGCTGCCCCCCACTTTCTGTGGCCGTTTGCGGTCCGGTACGCTGCGCATCAGCTCAACCTCTGGCCCCGTGTCTCCTTGCCGGAGACCTCGCCCACGCTGCTGTGGACGGGGGAGGTTGGCGATGCGTCGCGTTTCCGGGTCTGGGGGTCTCGAGCTTTTGTCCGCGATACGTCTGCGGACAAGCTCTCCTCCTGTGCTGTTCCCTGCGTCTTCCTCGGCTTTGTCCCGGACGCGTCTGATTGGCAGTTTTACCACGCCACCTCGCGCCGAGTCTTGCCCTCCCAGGACGTCACTTTTGACGAGTCCGTCCCCTATTACCGCCTCTTCCCCTACCGCACTGCCCCGCTCCCCCCCCCACCTCTCTTCCTCGCGCCAGGTGCTGCTGTTGCAGACCCCCTCCCCCCCCTCAGGGTGCCGATCCCTCAGGTGTGTCTCAGGTAGACCCGGTTGAGCCTGTTGAGGTAGCTGTCGACTCTCGTCCTGCTGGGGGTGCTGAGCCTGGGGGTGCTGAGCCTTGGGGTGTGGAGCCTGGGGGTGTGGAGCCTGGGGGTGTGGAGCCTGGGGGTGTGGAGCCTTGGGGTGCTGAGCTTGGGGGTGTGGAGCCTCGTGGTGCTGAGCCGTAGAGTCCGAAGTCTGGGGGTTCTGGGTCTGGAGGTACTGGGCCTGGGAGTCCTACACCTGGAGGAGCCCTCTCCTCGGAGCAGCTGCGTGCGTGGTACTTACAGTACTGCAGCCTCCGGAGAGGTACCGCTCGTGCCGGACGTACAGCTGGGACTGGTGCTAGTGCTTCTTCTCTCGTTAGGGAGCTCCCCTTCCGCGAGCGGATCCGTGAGTGGTACGAGCGGCGCTGCACTCTTCGGAGTGGCGTGCTTCGTGTTGCGGACCCCGCTACCGTTGGAGCTGCTGCTGGTGCTGAGGACTCGGGCGTTGGAGCTGCCGCTGGTGCTGCGGACCCGGGCGTTGGAGCTACTGCTGGTGCTGCGGAGCCGGGTGTTGGAGCTGCTGCTGGTGCTGAGGACTCGGACGTTGGAGCTGCTGCTGGTACTGAGGACCCGGGCTTTGGAGCTGCCGCTGGTGCTGCGGACCCGGGCGTTGGAGCTGCTGCTGGTGCTGAAGACCCGGGCGTTGGAGCTGCCGCTGGTGCTGCGGACACGGGCGTTGGAGCTGTTGCTGGTGCTGAGGACCCGGGCGTTGGAGCTGCTGCTGGTGCTGCGGACCCGCGCGTTAGAGCTGCTGCTGGTGCTCAGGACCCGGGCGTTGGAGCTGCTGCTGGAGCTGCGGACCCAGGTGTTGGAGCTGCCGCTGGTGCTGCGGACCCTGGTGCGGGTGTTCTTGCTGACTCTGGTGTCGCTGCACGGTCCCGGCCGTACTTCGTTCCGCTCCTTCAGCAGGTTCTTGGTCAGCTCCCTCCTCCTTGTCCTCCTCCCTCCTTTGCGTGTCCTCCGTCTGTCCAGCTGCAGTCGCAGTTACCGTCTGCCTCCTCTCTCCCTGGTCCTGCTCCTTACACTGGTCCGACTGGAGGTCTTACTGAGCGTCGTGAGCCTGAGTCTCGTCCTGCGTCGCCTGAGTCTCGTCCTGAGTCGCTTCTCCGCACTGCTCTCTCTAGTAGTCGAGTCCAGCGTCAGCGTCTTCCTGCTGTCCCAGGCACTCACCGAATGGCGCTTCGTCCGTCCACTGCTCCACAGCGTGTCCCACTGCCGTCTCCTCCTGCTTCCTCTCTTCCTGCTCTTGCTGACCCTGGGTCAGACTCTCTTCGTGCTACCAGTCCTACTATCACGCGTCTCCTGGCTACTGTTGTCACTGACCCTTCCTTTGAGTCTGCTGCTGCGTCTGCCTTAGTTGCTGAGCTTGTCGACTTTGCTGCTCGCTGTCGTCTAGACTACGCTGCTAGCCTAGTTGCTGAGTCTTAGTCTGTCTATCCTCCGTCCGTCGGGGGTGAGTGTGCTCTTAGCACTGACGTTCTTAAGGACAGGCAGGAGGAGTTTGAGTGCTTTGCTGCCGCTTTGCCCCATCTCGTGTCCATGCTTGTTGTCCCTGAGAGAGACCCGGATGCACCAGACATCCCGACCCCACGCTCTTACGCAGAGGCGATGGCCGGTCCCTACTCCTCTCAGTGGCAGTCAGCCATGGACACAGAGATGGCTTCTTGGAAGTCCACAAGCACCTACGTCGACGAGGTTCCCCCACCTGGGGCGAACATCGTCAGTGGCATGTGGATTTTGAGGGTGAAGCGGCCGCCGGGCTCCCCGCCTGTCGTCAAGGCGCGTTACGTTGCACGAGGCTTCAGTCAGCGAGAGGGAGTTGACTTCTTCCAGACCTTCTCCCCGACCCCGAAGATGACCACTCTTTGGGTTCTGCTGCACGTCGCCGCTCAGCGTAACTACGAGCTCCACTCGCTTGACTTCAGTACAGCTTTCTTACAGGGCAGCCTGCACGAGGAGATCTGGCTGCGCCGTCCACCTGGCTTCACTGGGTCGTTCCCTCCTGGTACCCAGTGGAGCCCCGGCGGCCAGTCTACAGTCTCCGCCAAGCGCCTCGTGAGTGGCACGACACACTGAGGACTACGCTTGCGGCTCTTGGGTTCGCGCCTTCTACTGCTGACCCGTCGCTGTTTCTACGCACCGACACCTCACTGCCGCCGTTCTACGTCCTTCTGTACGTCGACGACTTGGTCTTTGCTACTGCTGACACTGTGGCACTCGCCCACGTGAAGTTGGAGCTGCAGAAGAGACACACGTGCACAGACCTGGGTGAACTCACAAGCTATCTTGGCTTGCGGATCACCCGGGACAGAGCATGCCGCACCATCACCTTGACTCAGTCACACATGGTGCAGCAGGTCCTTCAGCGCTTCTGCTTCACGTACTCCTCGCCTCAGCCCACTCCTCTGCCTACTGGTCACTCGCTCTCAGCTCTGCCTTCGGATGAGTCCGTAGAGCCGAGTGGCCCGTATCCAGAGCTTGTGGGTTGCCTCATGTACCTGATGACCTGCACTCGACCTGACCTTGCATACCCTCTCAGCATTCTTGCACGCTATGTCGCTCCCGGCCGTCACCGGAAGGAGCACATGGATGCAGCTAAGAGGGTGTTGCGCTACGTGTGCAGTACGTCGGGCATGGGGCTAGTGCTTGGAGGGCGAGTCCCAATTGTTCTCACTGGGCACTCAGACGCTTCTTGGGCAGACGACCAGGCTACTCAGCGGTCGTCTCAGGGTTACTCCTTCAGTCTTGGCTCTGGTTTTGTTTCTTGGCGTTCTACTCGCTCTTCTTCTGTTCTCAGCTCCAGTTGTGAGGCTGAGATCTACGCCACAGCCATGGCGGCCCAGGAGCTATGCTGGCTCACCTACTTGCTGACCGACCTTGGAGAGCAGCCTCGTTCTCCTCGAGTGCTGTACGTCGACAACAAGGCAGCCATTGCCTTGTGTGAGGAGCACAGACTGGAGCACAGAACGAAGCACATTGCTCTGCGTTACTTCTTTGCTCGAGAGCTGCAGCAGCGTGGTCAGCTTCGCCTGCGTTACGTGGCCTCTGAGGCCAACACTGCTGATGTGTTCACCAAGGCGCTTCAGCCTTGTGACCATCAGCGCTTTTGCACTCTTCTAGGCCTTGTGCCTACTGGACCTCACTTGCTTACTTCTTGAGTCTGTTTGTACTGTGATCTCTATATATATACCTGCATGTTTACTCTTGCTAGGTTATGATCATTGTACCTTTTGCTCTATTATAAACCTGCATGTGAACTGGTCTTGTGACCACTTGCTTGTGCTTGGAATTTGTGTGGTATCTTTGAGATCCACCCTGAGCTTGTTTTGCCTTGCTTTGCCTTGACTGGTCTTGTGACCCCTAGTTCTCCCCTACTTCGCCTATGGGGGTGTTTCAAACATTATATATGTTGTGTTAGTTTAGGCTACAGTGGGTTAGCCTATAGGGGGTACACAATTCTAGGGTTAGGTACTTGTACTCATTTCACTGTTAGTTCATTCATTTTCCTGTTCAGTTATTCCAACATATATATGTACCTGCATGCTTGCTCTTGCTAGCTAGAGATCATTGTGCTGTTCTTGTTGCTTATATACCTCTGCATGTGGATTGGCCTTGTGGCCGTTTGCTTGTGCTCACTGTGTGTGGTGACGTTGTGATCCACCCTGAGCTGTGTTTTGTTTCTTCTCTTGACTGGTCTTCTGACCGTTGCTTGCTCCGGCTATCCCCCATTTCGCCTATGGGGGTGTGTCAAAACATATGCATATCATTATCTAGGCTATATTGGGGCTAGCCTTAGGGGGTACAGAAACTTTCTCGACACTCTAGCCTTGTACCCCAACCTTGACCTAATCTCATCATTCTTGCCTTAGTTCTTAACAAGAAACAGGGACAGGGGCGGAAGAGCAAGAGACGCAGACAAAGAGAAAAATGGACTAGCTGAAACATAAGGCAGATTCCCGATCAGGGTTGGCGTTCCCGGTCCGAGGGGGCTCTGTTAGGGGGGCAATGAGGTGAGGGGCGATTCGAGGGGCTGGGAGGGGGTGTGAGGGGATTTAGGGGGTAGGGGGGCCTTAGGGGGCCTTGGGGGTCCATGGGGGGGTTTCCCCACCGCACCACCTCTACTCTACTGTATTGCCTCTTTCCTACTCATTCTAAAATCACCTCTCTACTGTACTGTATTGCCTGATTCCTAATCATTATAAATTCTTGCAGTGGAAAGTGCACTTTTGAGGCGCCTCATACGGTAAGTATACCATTGTCTCATTGGTGGGAAGGAGCCTATAGTTCCATACCGAATTTTCCTATTCTCTCGAGTTGACTCAAAATTCACTCTGTTGGTGGGAAGGAACTAGAGTTCCATGTCTTCCAATTCTGGCAGTGGGAAGCGCAAGATTGAGGTGCCTCAAAAGTAGGTCGTTTCATTGGTGGGAAGGAAAGGAACTAGGGCTCCATGTCGTCCAATTCTGGCAGTGGGAAGCGCAGAATTGCAGCGATCCCAGCAAGATTCACCAGCTCTGCTCAAAGCAGAAAGGCATACCACAAAGAAGACAGATCGGAGACATGATGCATATCGGCAGAAGCACGTGGTAACTTGTAACATGTAGTATGTAGGATGTTGCAGGCAACATTTGCAGGATACGTACGCTCGCCAGAGATGTGCAGGGAAGAGAAGACATGCACTTGCCCGCCATTCGCTCTCACTGCCATTGTGCTCGTGACCAAATGCCTTACCACATATGTACGACAAGCAGCACAGTCAAGGAAAATTTTGGTGCAAGTACGTAAGCTCACCAGACACGTGCAGGGAAGAGAAGACGTGCACTTGGCCGCCTTCGACCTCACCGACTCCACTAGATCCACATAGCGCCGCCTCATCTTCACATCCGCATTGCTGTGGAACAAGGTGTGGGGTGGTGATTGGGGGGGAGGGGAGAGGCGGAAGAGAGGGTGGGAAGAAGACATACACTTGGCTGCCATTCGCTCTCACTGACTCCACCAAATCCACATAGCGCCGCCTCGTCTTCACATCCGCGTTGCTGAATCCAAAGAGTGGGATGTGGAAGGGATGTGGGGATACAAGGAAGGGACGAGACGGAGGGTGAAGGTAGGGGAGGCGAAGAGGAGGACGACGAGGGAGGGGGACAAGATAGGACCCAAGGACAACAACAGGTTCACACAAAACAGGAGCTTACGAAGCCATGAGTAGAGTATTTTTAAGATAAAGAGCTCAGGCAATGAGTCTACTAGAAGGCAATGAGTCACTCCACCACCGAGTCGGTCTAGAGCCACTGAGTCCCACACGTCCTTGCACTCACCTCAGACCACATGCCCCCATGCACCCCCTCTGTGCTCCACTCACTCACCACATGCCTCCTTGAGTCGGTCTAGAGCCACTGAGTCCCACACGTCCTTGCACTCACCTCAGACCACATGCCCCCATGCACCCCCTCTGTGCTCCACTCACTCACCCCATGCCTCCTTGAGTCGGTCTAGAGCCACTGAGTCCCACACGTCCTTGCACTCACCTCAGACCACATGCCCCCATGCACCCCCTCTGTACTCCACTCACTCACCACATGCCTCCTTGAGTCGGTCTAGAGCCACTGAGTCCCACACGTCCTTGCACTCACTTCAGACCACATGCCCCCATGCACTCCCTCTGTGCTCCACTCACTCACCACATGCCTCCTTGAGTCGGTCTAGAGCCACTGAGTCCCACACGTCCTTGCACTCACCTCAGACCACATGCCCCCATGCACCCCCTCTGTGCTCCACTCACTCACCACATGCCTCCTTGAGTCGGTCTAGAGCCACTGAGTCCCACACGTCCTTGCACTCACCTCAGACCACATGCCCCCATGCACCCCCTCTGTGCTCCACTCACTCACCCCATGCCTCCTTGAGTCGGTCTATAGCCACTGAGTCCCGCACGTCCTGAGGAAGCAAGACATCAAGGGCATGGCAAAAGAGGTGTGGTGGGGTGGGGGGGGGGGGGGAAGGGGGGTGAGAATCATGGAAGGAGGGTCGTGAAGGCCCAGATCCGCCAGGCATGCTGTGGACACCCCGAGTTGTTTCGAGACGTCTCAAAACAACACTTTATCAGGGGGGTTGTGAAGGCTCAGATCCGCCAGGCATGCCGTGGACACTCCGAGTTTGGCAGCAATGGAAAAAATGCCAATCTACGACGGAACAACAACGGAGGAAGATGGTACTTGGAAATAGTACCTTGGTGAGTGTGAAGGCCCGCTGCAGATCCAGCTCCAGTGTGTGGTATGACCCTAGCTGCGATGACGGGAGCAGATGAGATGAGAGCAGCGTGAGAGAGGCATAGCTGATTACAAACGACCACGTTGCAGATCCAGCTCCAGTGTGTGTGTGATATGACCCCAGCTGCCGTGTAGGGGTTTAGCCAACCACACGAGAGAGCGGCATGAGAACACTTTTGAGTCGCCTCAAAAGTCCCCAGCTGCCGTGTAGGGGTTTCGCAACCACACAAGAGAGCGGCATGAGAACAGCGTATGGGCAGATGTGGGTGGAACCGGAAGGAGAAAGGACAGCTGGATAAGAAAGGTGTAGATCCAGCTCCAATGTGTGTGTGGTGTGTCCCCCCCAGGTGTTGTGCAGGGAGCAGATGAGAGCAGAACAGCGTAAGGGCAGATATGGGCAAGAGAGGACAGTTATGTGTGTGACACAACACTCACACACTCGTTTCACACCCGTTTACTCTTCACTCGTTTTCAGCAAGACTCCCCTCACCTTCACATGCTCATTCTCAGTAATGTTTTTGCCGCGAACTCGAATGACGTGTGCCGATGCGTCGAAATCGACTTCCTGTTAAATAACAGTTGGAAGGGGCGGATTAATCACGGAAAGCAGGTAGTATCCCATTTTTTGTTTTTCTTCACAAAATTGAATGACACACACTTTAGAAACACAAGAAAAATCGATACGTAAAAGCCATTACCACCCTGCTACAATACAATGTATGCCCCCAGGTTACTTTCTAACCCCACAACCGCCCTCCCCTCTCACCTCACCTCCACTTCCACTTCCAGCCTCAATTTGATCCGCTCAGACTAACTGCTGCCTCTCAACCCCACCCCCACAGCTCCTCTCATCTCCCTCCCTGACCTTATCCCAAAACCTGCTATCCTCACTCTATGGTCACTCTCACCCACCACCCTCCTCTCTCTCACCTCCACTGCCACTTCCACCCTCAATTTCATCCGCTCAGACTCACTGCTGTCTCTCAACACCCCAAAGCCTTGCCTTCTCCCTCTCCGTCCTGACCTTAATCCAACACCTGTTATCCTCGCTCTAGTGTCTCTCTCACCCACCGCCCTCCCCACTCACCTCCACTGTCACTTCCAGCCTCAGCTTGATCCTCTCCGACTCACTGCCGCCCCCTCCCGTCTCCTTCTGCACCTTCCTGGAACCATCCAGCAGGAAGAGGGAGGTAGATTTGTAGGAGGGAGGTAGATTTGTAGGACGGAGGGAGCGAGTGTTGGTTTGGGGAATTTGAGACAGCACATGAGAAGATTACTGAGTTGAGCCACGAGGATTTCTTTCTGCGTTACTTCAGTTCAGGAACTGTACAAAGAACCACCCGACCGAATTTCAAGTCGACTCAAAATGTGAGTCAGTCAGCGCATGAGAAGTTGATTGAGATGACCCACAAAGATTGCCTGCTGCGTTAGTTCAGGTACTGTAAAAGACCACCCGAGCGTTCAGGTATGAGGGTCCATTCACGAACCTGAGCATCCACCTGAGCACGAACCTGAACGTGGTGCTCTGCACATGGTCATGCGGAGCAATGAGGTTGTACGCATGCCATAGGTCCTCCTCCACTTCAGGTACGATCTGGATTGAGGGAGGGGTTGGGGGGGGGAGGGAGGGGGGAAAGGGGGAGGGGAGGACAGAAAGGGGGTTAAGGATAGAAGGACGAGGAATGAGGTTGTACGCATGCCATAGGTCCTCCTCCACCCTCGGGTACGATCTAGAGGGGAGAAGATCGAGGAGGGAAAGGGGAGAGGTGGCAGAGGTTTGCGGGGCGTTTATGAAAGCAGGGAGATAGTAGGAGGAACGTCGGAGGGATCACGACTGTGTGTACGATAACACACCCAATAACATTTCCGAGGAGTCTCTAACACGTGGCCATAAGTATCGCATTGCATCCTTAACCATACAACATAATCCTCTTCTCCTTTATATGTGACATGCGAGTACTTCAAAGGGAATCGTCCCATTCTTCCATCACACCTTGGCCACCCCTGGGCCGTCTTTCTCGAAGCTCCTCTTCAGAAGCTTCATCGCGGATTCCAACGGTAAGAAGAGAGTATTCACAGAAGGAAAGAACCCCATACTCCACCCAGCACACCTTGGCCACCCCTGGCCCGTCTTTCTCGAAGCTTCTCTTCAGAAGCTTCATCGCGGATTCCGTGTGATTCGCTAAACTTCGTTCAAATCGAAGAGATGACTTGAGTCCAGTCGAAAGCAAGTTGCGGTAAGCTAGTCTAATCTGCTACAAGCTAGTTCCGGTCTGTGCAAGTGAAATTAGCGGATAACCGACTGACTACTTTTCACTCGCCGGTAAAATTTGCTACCTAAATGCAGAAATAACACCTCGGTTCTCGTCCTCGTATTCAGATTCTGAAGCTAGTGCTCCTCGCCCACTATCCGTACCGCAGATTCTGAAAGCATCCAGCTACACTTCAGACAGAGCCCAGAGACTGACCAGCCCACCTAGGAGAACCAGGATTGTTGGGACATATTGTGAGCAGGCAATCTGAAGAATCGAGGGCTGGAGTTAACGACTCGCAACCGCACCTAATCCCTCCTGAATGTTCTACAGCCTACGAGAACGCGTCCAACCTGATCCTCGTCATTTGTTGCTCATGTCAGTGGATAAACTTGACCATTTCTTCTTCGCTCGCTGTTACAAGTTTGCTAAGTACCATCAAAGTCTACACCTCCATTTGCAGCTCGTCACTGCATATGCGTGTGCTGTTCCCTATTTAGCTATGGAGATGTGCAGCAGAACGAGCTTAGCTTAAATGAAGACATCTGTGAGACATTATTGTGAAAGATATTCTCCCAAAGAACAATACTTTCCACTAGATGGATAGACAATCACAAATGGGTAATCTTCAGAATAACCCAACAAACCATACCAATCACGTGTAATAAAGCAGAACAAAAGCGAAATGCAACCCACACAGCACAAAGAGCAGCTCCCAGCCCACCATTCCTAATCAGACTGTCATCTCTAGCTCTAAATGCATCCCATAGTCACCACCTTTCTTCACCCATCCTTCAACTGTCTCTTCCCCATGTTTCCCCCCCTACACCACACGGCCATTCCAGCAAAAAAAACTGGACTGATAATCCCCACCTCAATCTAGTCATCACCATCATTATCATCATTGTCCCCGCGTCCTCCCCTCCTCCCTCCCTGCTTGCCCGCACCGCTCCCATTGCAGTTTCCAGAACCAGACCCACTTCCGTTGCAGTTCCCACCTCCCCCACCGCTCCCCCTCATCCCCGCGCCAGCCCCCTTCCCTGCACCTGCGCCAGTGCGTCCAGCCGCTCCCTGCCGCCCCGCCCCTCCGCTCATGCCGCCCGCTCCGCTTGCACGTCCACCACCACCACCACCACCACCCACGCCTGCACCTGCGCCTGCGCCACGACCGCGGCCCTGCTGCTGCCCCGACCCCTGCCGACCAGCACCGCTGCCGCTGCCATTGCCAGTGCAGCCGCCAGATCGGGAGCACTGGGAGGAACCAGAGCTGGAGCCGGAGCCGTCGCGCTTGCGGTCGCGGTCGCGGTCCTGGTCGCCAGACCCATCCCTCTTGCGATCCCTCTCCCGGTTATCCGCCACCACGTACCCCGCGCTCTGAATGCTCGCTGCCGCCGCGTTTCTCCCCGACCCTCCGCCTCCGCCTCCGCCGTTGCACGAGCCAGACCCGCCGCTGCAGTTTCCGCTGCCCTTCTTGCCCTGCCGCACCTTCCCCGCGCTGTTGCTGCCGCCCAGCCGCCCGCTACGACCCGCACCCGCACCAGCGCCAGCGCCGCTCCCCGTTCGTCCCGCTCCGCCCCCGCGCCCGCCCGCGCCGCCGCCGCCCTGCCGGCCGGCGCCAGTATTCTGTCTTCCGCCGGAGCCGCTGCCGGCGCAGCCGCCGGACTTGCTGCAGGAGCCGTCGCGATCGCGGTCCCTGTCGCGATCCTGGTCGCGGTTGCCGGAGCCGTCCCGCTTGCGATCGCGCTTCGGACGGTCGTCGTCGTCGTCGTCGTCGGCGACGGCGAAAGTCGCGAGGTTGACGACGACGAGCAGGAGGATCCCGAGGGCGAGAAGCTTCGACGAAGCCATCGGTATTCTCAGATGTCCACGGAGGGTAGTGGTATTCTCAGTATATGTAGTAGTGGACACGACAGGCCTACGATAGACGCTGAAAAAGAGTTAACCTGCTATTGAGAGTGAGTAGAACGGGTGGATTTGGTCTAAACGATGCTGAGAAACCCGAGAATGGACTCGGGATTTATAGTAGTAGCATTTGGGTGGGAATGGTTTCGGGACTGTGCCGCGGCGGTCATTACCGGGCTGGGCCGCGGTGGTTTCGCCGGGGCTGTCATATGGTTGTTTCGCCGCGCCCTGGTTTCCGCCGAGTGCGCATCGTACTGGACAGGCGGGCGACACTGGGCCGATGGAGGCGCGAACCTTATCCGCTCGAGTTGAAACAACGCGCGCCGCCGCTGGAAAGCACACGCGACGGGGCGCAGCGCAACACATGACACAGAACGCGCAACACACATGCCTCGGCGGAACGTGACGTGGCGAGGCGAGGCGACGTCCAAACTTGCACGCGCAGCCGAGGCGGAACTCGAGCGAGCCCCCCTCCATCCGCACCGCACCCGGCCCCTCGGCGGAGGCGGCTGTGGGCTAGGCGCTCCGCGAGAGAGAGACTGAGGGCTTGCGCGAGTATGCGCGGTGGGGGGGAAGGGAAAAGGGAGTCTTCCGGCGCTCGGAATTTTCGTCGGAAGCGACGGGTGGAATGGCCCGTCCCCCGACGAGCCGCACACGCATGTTGAGTTCCACCCAGGCTGGCTGGCCGCTACTGTACTACTTCAGTACTGTCCTGCCAAACAAACCCAGACGAACTCACTCACCGCCTCTCTCCTTCCCAATCCGCGCTGGATACAATTGCCAATGGCAGGTCGGTCCGTCGCGCAACGAAAGCTGTCGGAGGAGTGAGCTGTCAGCTGCCTTGCCCGGCGGTTATCCCCTTGGCAGTGGCTGGTAACCAAACAGCATCTGGTGCTATCATAACAGAGGCTTGCTGGCGCACCATGATAGAATCTTTTTACGACACCACACGCTCTAAGTGCGCGCTGAGCTGGCGCGCAAGATCCCGGCTAGCAGTGCTGCTTGACTGCGACGCGACGCTACCGAGGCTGCACGGTTGTACGAGCTACGATCGTTTCTGGCGAAGGCTCGCACTCTCAAGGTCTACTCTACTCCCGTTTTCCCTCGAAGCAGCAGGAGGTGTGAGGCTTCTGACGAAAGAACTAATAGCTGGCTTCAACATAATTGGAACAGCTACAAGTGTGGTGTAATTGTAACAGTAAGTGGCTAGCTAGACATACACTAGCCAATATGAAGATATGTTCATTTTTACATTTGATTACAACGCTAGCACTGTCAATTTCAATCATACTTACCTTCACACATGCGTTAATGGGAGAATAATGCAATCCAAGTACCAGCATTTACCCCGTATTACTTAACATAGTATATGACGCAGTTATTTACATGGATCACCCAACATGAATATAGTGAAGAAATTAAACAGGCTCGTAACTTATTCTATATTCAATAGGTATCATTTTTTAAGAAGCAATATCTTTTTACCTACACCCAGCCTACGTTAGGTTGCCTCGCTGAGGCGCAGTTTCCTACGAAACACCCTTCCAGCAAAGAGCCTCAAGTTTCCAGCGAGGATTCGTCTTTCGCGAACAGCAACTCACGCTCGCGACGAGCACCACCACCAGCGGCAACGTTCGCTAGCTGCAAGACTGCAAGAGGAGGAGCCTTCGCCAGAAAATACCATTGTGTTGACCAAAGGGAGAGGAGTTAGCTGAGAGGTCTAGTTATTTTTTCTGGCTTTGGCGCGTGCGACTCGAGGCTGGGGGGTTGTATTCTAAAGCTATTTCCATGGTAACCTCCTTCCGCGCAGCTGCCTATTCCCCCCCCCCCCCCCCCCCCCCCTCGCGCCCCTTCCCCCTTCGCCACAGTCTCTCCGATGCGGCATCGTAGCCCAGAAGTGTGCGGGAGTGCGCCCCGGAGCAGATTCGCGACTCGGCGTCGGCCGTCGATGTCATATGGAATGGCCTTGTACTATAAATATCATCTCGTCCCGTCCAACTCCCTCATCACACTCAAATCTACAAATTGCAACCACTGTGACACAGCTTCCCCGGACATTGACGGCCATCGTTAGATCCTACCGTCTATCTCCGACAACTTGAACGGCGACCGTCTACTTTGCACTTCAGAGCCGTCCATTGGGGCCAGTTGGCGTCGGCTTTACCATGTTAAGCTTATTACCATAGTACCGTATCGCCCCGGATATAACCTCAGGCCTATGTTAAGCGCATGCGCTTCTATCTGGAGCAATGCGTTTATGGCCGATCCTCAATTAGAAGCGCACCCTCTAAAATAACCTTACTTATTATAAGCGCACCTTGCTGTATAGACAAGAATGTCTGTTGTTTTTTTTTCACTTTCTTTACAACCTTCGTACAAACTACATTACGCTAGCTAAAAAAATCAACTAAAAATTTCCAGTCAAATACATTAGACTAGCATCCTAGCCTACACAACATTTTTAAGTTTAGTCTAGCCTAAGGCCTACTCCTCATCCAACTCAGGCTCCATGGAGTTGTTGCCAAAGAACCCGTCTGCTTGGATGTCGTCATCAACCTCTACCTCGTGGAATAGCTGACCTCTCCGGTGCGCCAGCACCAGTCCGTCTTCACTCCCGTCAAGGGCATTGCTGATGCCGCAGGTGAGGAACGCTCTCTTAATCAGGTCGGCGGGCACAGCTTTCCACGCCCGTGAAATCCACTTGAGCACCACCTCCGGAGATGGTTTCTTAATGTTCCCTGCACCACATACACGGGGGTGGGAAACACGTGGGTCCACAAGTAGGCAGACATACAGACGAAGCGGTCACGGGAGAACATTTTTGCGTACCTGCGGGTGTCAGGATGTTCATGCCGTCCTGCTCGAACCAGGTCTGGTACTGCTGCCGAACACTCACCTTGAAGCTTTTATTGACCGACACATCGAGCGGCTGCAAGTCTGCCGTGCATCCCGCTGGGATGACCGCCGGCACGATGTTGAGTTCCGCGAACTTCGCCTTGACTTCGGGTGTTAGGTGTCCACGATAGGAGTCGAGCACTAGCATGGCGCTCCGGCTCTGCAATCCGAACTTCGGTTTCAGGAACGACACCACGCCTGCACTGAGCCACTCGATTACGCCCGAGGCCTCCATCCACCAGTTAGCTTGGCAACCGACCACGACATCTGCATACAAGCAAGCGGTGGTTAGATTTTACTTTTGTTTTTCCCCTCGGAAACAAGCGCATACGCAGTTTCTTACCATTCGGAAAGTCACCCTTTGGGAGGGTCTTGCGCTTGAAAAACACCCACGGCTTCAACTTCTCGCTCGTCGCCGTGCACGCCAGCATCACAGTGACTCTCTCTTTCTGGTAACCACCACTGCGGATAGGCACCGACTTCACGCCCGTCTGCTCCATCGTGGTAGTCGCCGGCATCTCCAGCCACAAAGGCGTCTGGTCGGCATTGATGATGTAACGATTGTCGATGTCGTAGTCGTGGCGTGCGTCGCGGACAAACTGCCAAAATTCCTTGCACTGCTTGGCCACATCTGCGCACGGGGAGGGAGGAACGGTTACAAGGGCGGATGAGCACCGCTACAGATAAACAAACATGGGCAAGAAAGTACTGAAATGCAAGATAAAACTTCACGATAGGATGACAGTGCACGGACAGGCACTTACGCTGCTGTGTCTTTTGCGCCACCTTTGTTTTCATGCGCACGGTGAGATTCCACCGCTTGCGGAACCGCTCCGTCCAGCGCTGACTCGCCTTCCACTTGACGTACGGGAACAACACCTTCATCACCTCTTTTGACCACTCTTGCAGCCGGCCGACTGATACTGCCACACCGCGGCGTCGCCAGTCCAGGAGTTGGGCGTACACCTTCATCTCCATGGGTCTGTACCAGGAAGACCTTCCGCGCCCATGAAGTCGACACCGAGCCCTGTGTGCAACCTTGAGCTCCTCCGCTTGGTTTTTCCACTCTGTGAGGCATTTGCGGTGTATGCCAGACTCCCGCGCGACCTCGTTTACCGATGCAGCAAGCTCCAGCCGAACAAGCCACTTCAGTTTCTCCTGGGCGGTGTAGCGCTGCCGTTTGTGTTGAGTCGGCTTGTGCCTGGGAGAGGGGGGCCGGGCATCACGGTTCTCAGAGGAGGGGTGGGGTCGCTTTTTGTTAATCGACGGATACGTTGGTATCGGCATCTTCTCGCGTGGTGCGTCGCGCCACCAAGACTCCACACCGTCGTCGTCCGCGTCTGTAGGTTCACGATCTGGGAACACGTCCTCCTCGGCGCCCTCTTCACCGTCGACTCCACCGTCGACTCCAGCATCGGCGTCGCATGTGGGTTGTTTATCGGCGGCCACGCCATCGTCGGCGCCCACAGCCGACTCGTCCCACGTGCAGGCTTCAGGATTTCCCCACCGAGGTGCAGTCGGCGGACCATTGATTTGCCTAGCCTTGGGTGTGTCCGGTTCAGACAACCACTCGTCGAAAGTGGCAGGCAAATATAACTGGAGCACGGGCCGATGGTGACCCCATGCGTCAGGAACAGGAGGAGTCGGAGGATTGGGAGGAGCGGGAGGAGCAGGAGGAGCAGGAGGTGCAGGAGGAGCAGGCGGAGCAGGCGGTGCAGGGGGTGTAGGTGGCACTGGAGGCGCTGGTGGCTCACGTGTATACCACCCGTCCGAGGTTAGTCGCCAGGCGCGGGTTGGTTTCTTCTTGAAAAGGAGGTGCGTCCCACTGAATTCCGCCATGGCTTTGCCAGCCAGGCGGGCTAGACTAGAAACAGAATGAAAAAATGAGTAGGAGGGTGCAGAAATGGGCAACGACGGGGACCCCTGCGGGCTAGCGGCTCGTGGTCCTCGTCAATGACAGGCAGGAAACCCCTGCCTACCCCCGTAGAGGAACCTGCGTGGCAGCATATTCGCAGCGCTGGCAGGGAATCTTCCCCACCCTTCAAGAGGGTTCGGAAGAAATGCAGATGCCACGCAGCGCATGCGGCTGTGATTGGGCCGCACGGCAATATCCTCGTCACTCCTGTCACGTTCGATGGTTCTAGACAACTTTGTACGGTGGGAAACTGAACCGCAGCTGTTTTTGCCTAAAAACCATGCACGATCCCACTTGTTCCATGGTCCGTTGGATTCGCCTTATTGGGGGCTTCAGTTTAGTATGTTTAAAAGTGAATTTCATTTTTTCCTTATTATAGGCGCATGCGCTTATACAGACACCTCAATTAGAAGCGCACCCCCCCAAAAAACACTGTTTTATTATAAGCGCACCTGCGCTTTTATCCGGGGTAATACGGTACTTTATTACCATAAATTCATCCCTCTATTCCGGCGATAGTACACCGATCGATGGCTTCGTCGAAGCTTCTCGCCCTCGTGATCGTCCTGCTCCTCCTCATCAACCTCGCGACCTTCGCCGTCGCCGACGCCGACGACGACGACCGCCCGAAGTGCGAGAGAGAGCGCAAGAGGGACGGCTCGAGCAACCGCGACTAGGATCGCGACAGGGACCGCGACCGCGACGGCTCCTGCGGCAAGTCCGGCGGCTGCGCGGGCAGCGCCAGCGGCAGCGGAGGCGGCGCCGGCGCCGGCGGCAAGCAGAAAGCTGGCGCCGGCCGGCAGGGCGGCGGCGGCGGGGGAAGCGGCGATGGCGCGGGTGCGGGTCGTGGCGGGCGGTTGGGCGGCAGCAACAGCGTGGGGAAGGTGCGGCAGGGCAAGAAGGGCGATGGAAACTGCAGCGGCGGGTCCGGCTCGTGCAACGGCGGGGGCGGAGGCGGAGGGTCAGGGAGAAACGCGGCGGCGGTGAGCATTCACAGTGCCATGCAGGGCGGTGGCATGCAGAGCGCGGGGTACGTGGTGGCGGACAACCGGGAGAGGGATAGCAAGAGGGACGGGTCTGGCGACCAGGACCGCGACCGCGACCGCAAGCGCGACGGCTCCGGCTCCAGCTCTGGTTCCTCCCAGTGCTCCCGATCTGGCGGCTGCGCTGGCAATGGCAGCGGCAGCGGTGCTGGTCAGCAGGGGTCGGGGCAGCAGCAGGGCCGCGGGCGTGGCGCAGGTGCAGGCATGGGTGGTGGTGGTGGTGGTGGTGGTGGTGGTGGTGGTGGTGGTGGTGGTGGTGGTGGTGGTGGTGGTGGTGGTGGTGGTGGTGGTGGTGGTGGAGGACGTGCAGGCGGAGCGGGCGGCATGAGCGGAGGGGCGGGGCGGCAGGGAGCGGCGGGACGCATGGGTGCAGGCGCAGGGAAGGGGGCTGGCGCGGGGTTGAGGGGGAGCGGTGGGGGAGGCGGAAACTGCAATGGAAGTGGGTCTGGGTCTGGAAACTGCAATGGGAGTGGTGCAGTTAGGAAGGGAGGGAGGATGGGAGGACGTGGGGGCAGTGACGACAATGACGGTGATGACTAGATTGTGTTGGTGCCCTTTGCAGTGATTCTAAGTGCCTAACAGGGATGGCTGTGTGGTGGTGGGGGACCTTGGAGAAGATTCAGCAGCATTTTGGAGCTGGAAGGAAGGGAGTGCTGTGGTGGAGGAATGGAATGCCGGAGTAGTGGCTGTGTGGAGTGGGGGTAACTATGGAAAGAGATACGGTAGGTGATGGTCAGTGTGATATGACATGACATGATATGGTATCAGCTGACTTGTTGAAATGGTTGGGTGGAGGTGGGAAAGGAAGTATTCAATAGTGGTAGCTGGCTGGCAGCCTCACTGGTTGCAATAGGTGGACTGAAAGGAACGAAGCTTACTGGTCCGGTGGTTGCTTAGTGCCGTGTGTGAATTGAATCATGTTTTGCCTTAGCTCATCGTATCATGTGCTTGCCTCGGCTTGCCCCTACTAATATCAACCGTTTGTTGAGGCCTAGATTTGCTGCTCAGGGTAGGGGGGCCTATCATATGGTGGTATACAGTATCTGCCTTACTATGTACTAATACGGTACAATAAGAGGACAGAAATATCTAGATGGTTTTCCACTCGCACTTTCAGGCCCATTGGTGGTGTAGGGACGGGACGGGATGGGCTGCTACCGGTATGGAGGTGCTTCAAAGCGGGAGCTAGTTGGGGGGTGGGTGGGATGGGACATGGATTCCAGCCCGCCTTTCAGGCATACGGTATCTGAGAAAGGAGAAGCGCCATCGCCACGTAATAAAAGATTTGTTTTGAGACGACTCAAAACAAATATTTTTATCACGTGGGGGGTGGGTGGGATGGGACATGGATTTCAGCCCGCCTTTCATGCATATTTCAGCCCGCATACGGTATCTGAGAAAGGAGAAGCGCCATCGCTTTGTGGGAGGTGGTTGGTGGGTTCTTGCACTTGAGTGGTGGGGGCCAGGGAGAGGGGGGTTTCGGCGGGGGAGGTGGGGGGACGGGTTTCATAGGAGGTGGTTACAAAAGGGGTTTTAAGGGGTTGGGAGGGAAAGAATTCAGCCTGCCAGTCTGGCTCATCTCTGGGAGAAAGAGCGCCATCGCCTCTTGGGAGGTGGTGGGTACTTGCGCTTGGGTGGGGGGGGGGGCTGGGAGGAGGGGGTTTTGGTGGTGGGGGGCTGGGCTTTCTAGGTGGGCTTGGAGGAGGTTTCAGAGGTATGGGAGGTGGTTTGGGGGGAGGGAATGGAGGGGGCTTGGGGGGAGGAGAGGGAGGGGGTCTTGGTGGGGGAGAAGTTGTGAGTGATTTCAGTGGTGGGGGGCTTGGGGGTGGTCTAGGGGGAGGGGAGGGTGGAGGCTTAGGGGAAGGGGAGGGCGGAGGCTTAGGGTGAGGGGAGGGAGGGGGCTTACCAGTGGTTGAAGTCTTGGGAGGGGGGGAAGGAGGGCGAGGGGGAGGGCGTGGGGGAGGGGAAGGGGGAGGGGGTGGCTTGGGGGGATTCGGGGGAGGTCGGGGTGGGGGAGATGGGGGCCCGGGGGGACTTGGGGGGGGCCGGGGGGGAGGTGAGGGTTTTGGGGGAGGCCGTGGGGGGCTTGGAGGGGGACGGGGGGGTGGGCGAGGGGGAGGGGAAGGGGAAGGGTTTGGGAGGGAGGGAGGGGGAGCCATGATAGCCTGGAAGCAGGGGGGGAGGTGGGGGAAGGAGAGGGTCTGATCGAAGTAGGAGAAGAAGAGAGTGTAGGAGGGAGAGGAGACAAAGTTGAGAATGTGAGTGGTGTCAACAGCAGAAGCAGCAGGAGGGGAGGAAGCAGGAGCGGAGGCAGGGGAGGTTGTACGAGAAGAGGCGGTTGAAAGGGCAGGGGCAGCAGCGGTGGCAGTGGGAGCAGCGGGGGAGGAGGAGAAGGAGGACCAGGTGTTGAAGGGCACGGGCAGCTGAGAGCCGTTGGATCGGAGAGCAGCAGTGGTGAGATTCCAGCAGTGCGACGGCAGCTGCGATGCAAATGACATGTGCGCCCACCCCCCTGCTGCCGCTGGCGCGAGGGCAGACCTGCAGGATCAGAAAACAAGCAGGAGGGGGCAAGGAGTTGAGAAGGCAGGTGAGGAGGCAGAAGTGAGACAAAGGAGATGTGGGTCCCAACCTCCTGCTACCACTGTTGCTGGAGGGAGGGCAGACCCGGAAGCATGGCAAGGAGCAGGGCAGGTTGAGTGGATGAGACTTTTCACACGTTTCTCACATTGTTGATCCTATTACTCAAGCGTTAATTTCACGCTCTGCTGCCCTTCTAATATTAGTCAAGAAGACCCTTGGGATGGCACATCTGGAAGCATGGCAAGGAGCAGGGCAGGTTGAGTGGATGAGAGGCTTCTGGAGCTGGAAAATCTAAATCGGGAGTTTCTGACTCGGGGAAAGTGGTTTAATTTCCCTTACAACCGTTCACGTGGCGCGGGTCGCAACAGCACCGCGCGCTCATGGTTCCCTAGCTCACGTGGCAGATGTGCGACGCGAAGAACGTGATCTGCGCCGCGGACCGAGCGCCATGCTCGTTTTGGAAACTTGGTGAGAAAATTGCTTCCGCACTCCGCCCTTGCTCGTTCCGACCTTGCTCGGTCCGGCCTTGCCCGTTCTGCCCTTCCTCCTTGTTCCGCCCTTCCTCATCCCATCATGCGTTTCCCCTCATCCCATCATCCATTTCCCCTCATCCCATTAGAGACTTTTCACACATTTTTCACATTAGAAACTTCTCCTTGTGTGAAACCCTGTGCTGCTTCCCTCCCTGTGCTTGCAGAGCTGCCACGGTGTGTCACTGCAGCCCAAGAGCATGAAGCTTCCTGCATCGCACCGGGAAGCTCCCTGCTCCGCCCCTTTTCCTCGTTCCGCAATTTTTCCTCGTTCCGCCCTTTTTCCTCGTTCCGCCCTTTTTCCTCGTTCCGCCCTTTTTCCTCGTTCCACCCTTTTTCCTCGTACCGCCCTTCTTGCTCATTCCGCGCTTCCCCCCTCGTTTCACCCTCCGTGCTCATTCCGCACATCCCCCTCGTTCCGCCCTTCCTCCGCATTCTGCGCTCCCCCCTCATTCCGCCCAATCCTCCTCATTCCACCCAATCCTCCTCATTCCGCCCTTCCTCCTCATTCCGCCCTTCCTCCTCATTCCGCCTTTCCTCCTCATTCCGCCTTTCCTCCTCATTCCGCCCTTCCTACTCATTTTCTGTTTTCCCTCACTCACCCCGTTTTTTGTTTTCCCCCACTCACCTCATTTTCCCCATTGTTCATCCCACTCACCTCACATCCCCCATTGTCCATCTTACTGTTTCCCCATCCCTCAATGTTCACCCCACTGTTTCCCCATCCCCCACTGCTCATCCTACTGTTTCCCCATCTCCCACTGTTTCCCCATGCCCTACTGTTTCCCCATGACCCACTATTTCCCCATCCCCCACTATTCATCCTACTGTTTCCCCATGCCCACTATGCACCCCACTGTTTCCCCATGCCCCACTGCTCATCCTACTGTTTTCCCATGCCCCACTGTTTCCCCATCCCCCACTGTTTCCCCATCTGTAGAAAATCAGGCCTATGTGCACAATGTGCACAAGGAGAAGCTGCTTCTGAAATGTTGAAAAGGGTCTACAAACAGAAAGTTAACTAAAGTGATGAATACAAGCAAAACAAAAGCTAAAATAGGCAGAAAGTGAAGAGAGCTAGCTTGGAGGTGACTTGGGTTGGTCCAAGAGATGAATTTGGTACCCAAGGGACTTGGGGTGGCCAAATGGGTGCTCAAGTCGCCCACAGTCAAGATGGGGACGTGAGGGACCCTCAAAGTGAGCTTGGAAGCGCCCCCTCGAGTGGAACCGCGATTCCACGAATTGGAAACGTCAATTCAAAGCTGGAGCCGCATTTCCGATGTTGAAATTCGTTGGTCTAGGCTGGAGCCGCGTCCCCAAGGTTGGGAAACGTGCCGGGGTGCCCTAAAGCCGAATTTGGGGTGCCTAGAACTTGATAAAGTTACTCAGGGGGAACCCTATAGCTAATATAACCCAACCCCTATTGTGGGAAGGATGTGGAAGAAGAGGTAAGGAGGGTGCAGCAATGAAAGGTCCGGGGTCGGCATTAGAGGTGTGAAGGAAAAATGTGAGAAGCTCCGATTTCAGTTTTTCATACCAACACCGAGGAGCCTGCTTGAGGCCGTACAAGGGCTTGTGCATGAGGCAAACTTGAGGAGAGCCGTTGGCAGGAAGGAGTTCAAAACCGGGTGGTTGGGTCATGTAAATAATCTCCTGGAGTTCAAAACCGGAGTTCCTGGAGCTGGAACTGTTTTACTGTTGCTGTTGCGGTTCGATACAGTGACGACTCGGGCAACTGCTCAGTATCGAGTCAGTTGTTTGTCCTTGCTGTCGCGCTTTATTTGTCAAGTCAAAGGTAGCGACCTTTGACCTTCGCGTTGTCAGAGGTCCACTGGAGATCCCTGATTGATCCTATGAAAGGGTTACAGGCATGTTGGCCAGGGGGGTTATGGGCGCACTGACCCGCTGCTTAACAAGCCCTTTTATCCCAATGGTTTAGTGGTTGGGATTCTGACATGGTATTGTGAAAATTTAGAAGAAAGAAGGGGATTGCACTAGCAAGAAGGGGGATACAAATAGCAAACCCTAGAAGGGTTGTACTCGCTATAGAGCACCCCACTACAGGCTAGAGCATAATATTCTGACACACCCCCATAGCCAAAGTGGGGTGTAATCAGCAGAGCAAGCAAAGCAGTACAAGCTTAGGGTGGATCACAATGTCACCACACATTCTGAGCACAAGTTCAAGAAGCAATAGTTTAAAGTTCACAATTATGAGCAAAGCTAGTGGTAGTCACAACGGGCAAGTGAGGAGGAGGAGAGAGAGTGAGAGGAGAGGAGATAGGAGGCGACGGCTGAAGCTGCAGACACACGGGCAACAGGAGGCAGACTGGCACAGCGGCTACCGGGCAAAGCCCCCGGAATACTGGAGTAACTGGCCCCACGGCTAAAGTAGTGGCAGACGAGCAACGGACCCACGGGCTGCTGGCACAGCTGGCTACGACTGGGCTACCGGGCGAAGTCCCCGGAATACAGGTGCTGCTGGCGACACGACGGCAACCTCCATGCAGCTTCCCCAAACTATCCCACTCCCCCTGGCACACACCCGCTGCTACACCGCTAGCTCCACTCCCACGCACCCCCCTTAAACCCTAAACCCCAGTCTCCCACACATCCACCCCCCTCAGCGACAGCTGCAGCAGTGGGAGACGAAGGAGGAGGAGGAGCAAAGGGAGGAATGAAGAAGTGCCACCCCCATACTCGCCACCCCCTACTTGCCACCCCCAAACCCTAACACAGGCAGGGTGGGATGGCGGGTAGGCAGGGTGGGATGGCGGCGCTCGCCCCCCTCCCCCAGGGCCCCCGAGGGAGCCGCGACGGGCGACGGGAAAAGGGGCCGGGGCGCAAGTAGGGCGGCGGGGCTGCAGGTGTAGGGCGGCGGGGGCCGCGAAGTTGGGGCGGCGGGGCCGCGACAGAAGGGCGGCGGGGCCGCGAAGTGGGGCGGCGGGGCCGCGAACGTAGGGTGGCGGGGCCGCGAAATGGGGCAGCGGGGCCGCAAAGTGAGGCGGCGGGGCCGCGACGTGAGGCGGCGGGGCCGCGAAGTGGGGCGGCGGGGCCGCGACGGGTCCCTGTCGCCCGTCGCGGCGCCTCTAGAGGGCGACGCGGCGAACGACGGGGCAGAAGCCCGCCGCGCGCCTCGGGGCGCACAGCGGGCAGAGAACCGCCACGCGCCTCGGGGCGCACGGCGGGCAGAAAACCGCCGCGCGCCTCAGGGCGCACGGCGGGAAGAAAAAGTTGCAGCGGAAGCGAGGAGGTGGTAACCCACCCACAGGATCGATCCAAGGGGATCGACCTGCTCTGATAGCATGTGAAAATTTAGAAGAAAGAAGGGGATTGCACTAGCAAGAAGGGGGATACAAATAGCAAACCCTAGAAGGGTTGTACTCGCTATAGAGCACCCCACTACAGGCTAGAGCATAAGATAACATTCTGACAGGTATCAGAGCGAAGGTCTCGGGTTCGAATCCCAGTGTGTGCACCTCGGGCATTTCAGTGCGGGGAGGTGTCAGAGGTCCACTGGAGATCCCTGATTGATCCTATGAAAAGGTTACAGGCATGTTGGCCTGGGGGGTTATGGGCGCACTGACCCACTATTTAACAAACCCTTTTATCCCAATGGTTTAGTGGTTGGGATTCTGACACGCGTAGCCTCCAGCAATTTGTCAACCTCCGATGGTTGACTCGCTGTTGCTTCGTTGCTATTTGCTTCGTTTACAGTTCAATGTTCCGACACATTAGAAGCGTTAAGTTACTTGTTTCCAACAGAAGTGACCCTGATCGTTCAGCCTTATATTTTGTACGACACTGATTTGTCAGAATGTTATTCTCTAGCCTGTAGTGGGGTGCTCTATAGCGAGTACAACCCATCTGGGGTTTGCTATATGTATCCTCATTGCTGCTAGTGAAACCCTCCCTTCTTCATTCTCGTTTCAGTTTTCTCATAAATTTCCATAGTTTTTTTATTCCAACACTATGTTTTCAGTGTTTTGCGATTTCGAACACTGATGAGTCAGTGTTGTATCGCGCTTGACCCTGAAACTGGAAACTGCATTTCGCCAAGTTTGGCGCGTCGTCTGCATTCAGGTACCCACTGTCGGGGCTCTCGTTATCAGACCAAATTGGTCTGATTTTCTGATTTTCAGACCTTGATTTTTGTTTTCATCTGATTTTCAAGACGAGGATTTCTACTTCGTCTGATCTGTAAGATTACGAATTTCAGTTCATCTGATTTTTCAGAGGAAGCCTTATACTTTGTCTGAAATTTTAGATAGGGGGTTGCATTTTGTCTGATATCGACCCCAATCCCCTCTCCCCCCCCACCCCCCCTTCTTCCCCCCCGATCCCTCGCTTCTCTAACAGCGCAGCCCCCCAGTTGATGCCCTCGCTCCTCGTCCCTATATTACTGGCCTAGTCCAGCCCTTCTCCCCCTTTCCCCCAGCCTTAGGTCCCCTCCCCAGGTCCCCGCTCCTAACCTAGCCCGCTTTCCTCTCGAAAAGTCTCGCAACAGCCCAACACCCCCAGCCGAACTCCCCCGAAGTCCTTGTCGCAGCCCAACACCCACCCCCCTGCCCTCAGCATGCCGCGAGCTGCCCAACAACCTTCCACATTTAGGTTGTGTCGCCCTGAATCGATATACGGTAATACACTACACGATGCAATTTGAAAAAAAAACAGACAGCACTATCTATTTCAGCTGAAAAATCAGACGTGGCGTTTGCACTCGTCTGAAAGTTCAGACTAACCTTTTTTCCTCGTCAAAACGTCAGACCAAACGAATTTTTTTTTACATGTCTTCAGACGGGCTTGAATCCTAGCAAGCGCCCTGCCCACTGTGCACCGACATCACCCTACACTGGCCGAATTTGGGTGTTATTGTCGAAGGCGCAATCTGATTGGTTGTCCAATGTGTGGCAACGTCGTGCTTGTTGCAGTGTGCTAAGGGAACCCATGCAGGGGTTCTCTGTGAAATGAGTAAGCAGGAATGAATGAACTATGAATGAAAGCAGTACAAATATGAAACCCTAACTGGGTTGTACCCCCTATGGGATACCCCACTACAGCCTACACAGCAGTATAAGCTATAGATATGTTCTGACACACCCCCATAGGCAAAGTGGGGGAGAACAAGGGGTCACAAGACCAGTCAAGCAAGACAAAGCAAAGCTCAGGGTGGATCACAAAGTCACCACACAGTCCGAGCACAAGAGCAAGGCCAAAGGCCAGTTCACAAGCAAGAGTACAGACATATATATAAAGCTAGACAAGCAAGAGCAGGTATATATATATGTCACAGTACAAGTGAAGTCAAGAGGAGAGCAAGTGAGGCAAGACAGGCACAAGACCCAGCTGGGTGCAGAAGCGCTGATGGTCACAAGGCGCAAGTGCCTTGGTGAACACATCAGCAGTGTTGGCCTCAGAGGCCACGTACGCAAGTCGCAACTGACCACGCTGCTGCAGCTCACGAGCAAGGAAGTAGCGGAGAGCAATGTGCTTCGTTCTGTGCTCCAAGCGCTGCTCTCGACACAAGGCCAGCATAGCCTTGTTGTCTACGTACAGCACAGGAGGAGAACGAGGCGGCTCTCCAAGGTCAGTCAGCAGGTAGGTGAGCCAGCGAAGCTCCTATGCAGCCATGG